CCCCAAAACCCCAAAACCCCAAAACCCCAAAACCCCTTGAGTCTAAATTTTAAAGAAAAAAGTTATAGAATTAAAATTTGTTCGTTAGCTAAATAAATAATTTAATACAATATGAGTGATTAATAAAAAGAATCTGTAAAAGCAAGCAGCAAGGAAAGTGATTATATAGATGATAATTACTATGAAAAACTAGACAAGGCTGAACTGATATCTATAATTAAAGTATTAGAATCGGACTTATTTAAGTAATGAGCTGAGAATATGCGTTTATAGACCAAATTGAAAGAGACTGAGGAAAAGTCAATCCTAAATAAAAAGGTAAAGCTTTATTATGATTCATACATCCAGAGATCACCACCATAATTATATTATACGAAAAATTCATATTTGACTTAGTAATTTTAATATATAGAATTCTAATAATACTACAAGCTCTTTTGCATTACCTTCAGAATTCAAAACTTAATGGGATGGATTGATGTCTGAGCATTTGATTGATGCTTTTGGCGTTCATTTGCAAAGGCCAAGGATATTTACAATTTTAGCCTAATAAAGTTTTAAAACCGTGATAAAAATTATAGAAGATTAGAAATTAGAGAAGATTCAAATCATTTCAGATATATTAAATTTCAGTGATAATTTGGAGTGCATTGATATTATCAAAGCTAGACTCTAGCCTGTGTTTTAAGAATAGGCTAAAATAATATTTAAGTATAATTAGACAGATATAATTAGCAAATTCAAGAATGAGTTAAAAGCTCTAAAGATAAAAAAGGATTTTATTGATGAATTGGAAGATGAGGATATGTATAACTACTTTTAAAAATTATTTAGCATCATTCTACACATGAAACTTAGTGATCCAATCATTTCTTTGAATCTCCCTTATGTTTAGTAAAATGACAGCAGAATATTGATAGACTTTTATAAGGATCTAGTTCTTAGTCCTTTTAAAAATAAAGAGCATTACTGTGCAGATGGTTTTCCCAAGGAAGGAAGCAATTGTTTTGTCATTTTATCATCACCTATGAGAGATAGTCATATCTATCAAGGAATAAAGTAGACAGTACTGATGGGTGAGGAAAAGAAAATATTATGTTTAGATTAGAGTGACTGGGATGATATTGAATTGAGTGAGGATGTAAGAAAGCTTGATATGCTAATGACTCTACCCAGGAAAAACGAAGATATTCCTTCAACTTATCCATTAGATATCAGTCAAGATACTAGTCCAGTTTTATAAAATGATTAGCAGGATAGCATATCAAAAAAAAAAGGCATAATCAACGACAGTCCTGATAACAATAATTCAAACAGGAGAAGAGTTAACTTTAATTAGATTCTTCTAAGTGAGATATAAAGCCCTAATATCTACAATGACAATGAAAACTTCTTTAAAGATAGTATAATTAATTTGAAAGTAAGTACTGAAGAATGTTAATCTATATAAGAGGAGTTAAACGATACTTAGAGAGTGCTGAACTTCTTCAAAAGCTCAAATAATCACATTCTCTGTGAACTACTCTAGCAAGATTCTTTTAATTAGGACTATACAAATTCTCAAATAATTGATTCTAATAGAAATTCAAATCTTAATTAGCCTAAGATTAGACCACTCACATAATAGAATTCAATAACGAGTGTCAAACCTCACTTTGATAGATAAAGTGAGGAAAAGAGGGCAATTTTAATTAAAAGTCCATTTGCCAAAAAGATGCCTTAAATTTAAGAGAAGCCAGTCTTGAAGGTTAAAAATAGTGCGATACTAGATAAAGTCAAATAAAATGCAGCCAAACTTGATAGTATTAGTAAGGGACAATATAGGAATTAGAAGTCAAGCCATAGATACAATGAGGAGGGATACTACTTTTAAAATCAAAATAATGCAAATTAAACCAGTAGGAGAGAAAGCTATGGTAAAAATAATCGTAAAATAATGAGCAAAAATGTTTAAGAGATGTTTGGGAAAAATAACAGTAGCGTTACATAGATTGATGAAAATATATAAATTGTTAAGGCATACTAAACTCATGATCACTAAGCAGAAATCATTAAACCTTAAGGAGATAGTAATAACTCAGCAATGAAGGACACTATGTCGAGCAATTTTAAATTTGCTTGGAATGACAGTGCTGTTACTGAGGAAACTAGAAAACTTACAGAAATCGAAACCGATTGCAAAAAATTAAATACAACAATAGAATTTAGGAAGTCAATAAATAAGACGAAGTCAACTGTAAACATACCTAAAAATGCTTAAAGAAGTACTGGTAAAGGTGATAAATCCAGTTCAGTTTCGCAAGTTGTTACTCCGAGCAAGGATGCTATAATAAATGACCCTACTCTAAAGAAGCTTTGGGATGAAGTTAGAAGGAATTCTTTTGGAAAAGTACAGAAATTTCAGCCTATTTTTAACGGCAGGCAAAGCAATAATAACTCAATTATGTAAAATCAATAATTGATTTAATTGGGATCAAGCACTTTTAGAAACAAATCTCTATCTAGTTAAAAATAAGATAATAATCCATTTAGAAGGCAATCTCAGACTCGAGAGTAAACTAATAGAGCATAATCAACATTTAAATTGAGAAATTAAGTCATTAAAGAGGATGATGATGATAGCAAAGGAATGATGACTCCTTTCAGTGATGATTTAGACCGATAAGAAGACGATTAAAGTGAGGGGAAAAATCTATTTATATCACCTGGATTAAATTTTGACATGAGAAATATATTTAGGAATAATAATAACAATCAAGTCTGCTTGAGGGATGACAAGAAAAATGATTCAGTATAAGAAGCAGATTGTAGCAATCAGGATATTCATTATAGAATTAATTTAGCTGGTGAACTTCAGCTATCAAATGGTAATGTCAACTCTAGCTTTTAAAAGAAAAAGACATATCTTAAAAAATCACTATCGAAATTGAATATAACTTCTCAAAATTATGCTTAAATAGAATCATAGAAAAATATGAAAAATAATATGGGTTCATGTACTAATAGAACTATGTAATAGTAAGCAAACCAAGTTTAAACTTAGAAAGCTTATGTCAACGACCCAAAAGATCCCATTCCAAGACATTTAAACAATAAAGTGAGTTCAAAAACTGTAAATAATAGAGAGTAAAAGTTATTAAGTTAGTAGGTTACAATTAGCGATTAGAAAGTATCTTCTTATAACATAAACCAAGGTCGAAATGAGGATCTTCCTAAATATAAATCTACTTATATACTTAACCAAAGTCTGAAACAAATTAATAATTGGGATCGATCCTAGGCTTAGTCCAGTATGGGATAGTAGTATTAGCAGAATTTGAGCATTAAACTGACCAAAAATTCATCAAATACATTCTTAATGAATGATAGTTTATTCAAACACACTCCTATGATAAATAATGTCAACTCTAGATAAAATTTCAAAAACTACTGAGTTAATATTTAAATTGAGAAGGATATTAAGAGTATGAGTAAATCTAATATAAGAGATGAAAAGAAATTGTAAAATGTTTGATTCATTATAAATTAATGTAATTTCGGCTGATATATAAATAAAATTATAATGAAAATTATGAAGGTTAAGTTATACAATGAAGTGCATGTTTGATATTTCATCTTAATGACTTAAAATTATCATATACTTTTATATTACTCAGTCTAATGATTTTTTTCACATTTTTATCTCTGCAATCAATAATCATGCTTAAGTAAAGAATATTGCTGGTGCAGGCTTGTCAGTCACAAGTGTGCATCCAGCAATATGCAATAAAGCTAATGCCGGATAGATTGGTCCTTTCTTCAACTCCTCATCCTCAAATGCAACTCCTAGGTATTCTCCATCCAAGGAGAAGGATATTGTACCTCTACTCATATCAAGTAATACTCCAAGTATACCTGTCCTCTTAAAACTTTTGCCATATTTGGGACCATTTGATCCATCACAGTGCCTTAGTTAACCAATTCCATAAAATGCCCAACCAGAAGAGTAATCGCTAAAAGATGTTTTTAAATCTATTTCTCTATTCTTAGTCACTCCTATCTTTAATTCATTGTCTGTTCTTGAATCTGCAACTAATTCCCAATAATGAAGGCCTGATTCAAAGCCAATGTCTGATATAGCGGTTCTGAACAAATATGTATCTTCCTCTAAAAATGCAGTTCTATTGTCAGCTGTTAAATCAATTGCATCTGATGTAAATGTTGGATCCCATCTAAATCTAGTAATAGATTTCATCTGCATCTTTTAGATAAAATGTGGTGATAGACACTCAACACGTCTTAAAACTTATAGATCGCTACCAGCCAAATCTAATTGGTTTTCGATTCCATAATTTTTACTCTCATCTAAGTAATTCTTAGCGCATGAGAGGTAAGATTAATAGAACTTTAAACAATCTAAGTAGCTCTTTTTATTCTTTATTCTCTTAAATTTTGCTAGATTTTCACATATTTCATTGCAAACTTTGAATTTCCCTTCAGAAGTAACTACCTCATAATATTTTTGGTTTTCTAATTACTTATTACAGATTGGATTATCACAGGTAACCTAGCCACATTATATTTCATGCTATTCTATTTCTGCAAGTCGAAATACTTTTTAGCAATACTAGCATTTTATCCTAAATGACTAAATTATTTCCTTGACCACACGTGAAGCTCCACGTATTCTAATATCTTTATGGCACATTGGGCAATTTTTATTAAGAATAAACCAATTGTCAATACATCTTTTGCAGAACAATTGATTACAGTAGTCACATTCCTTTGCATCTCTTGCAACCTCTAAATATAACTTTAATAAATTGAAATTATTACTAAAGCAAATTTAGCATTGTAAAAATCTAGTAAATTCCTTAGGCAGATTGAAAATACCAATGCTATCGGAGTCATAGCCAGTTTGCTTTAAATTATTCATCTTTAAACTTTAATTAACTAACTTTTATATTTTTACCTCGAGATTTAACATTTTCATATACATGGGGTTTTGGGGTTTTGGGGTTTTGGGGTTTTGGGG